TTTTTTTTTAATGAACCAAGACTAATTTAAAATAAGCACTCCTTGTATTAAAAATTGCCATGGTTTTCTGCATAAAATTTGTCATTTTTTCACAAAATAAACATATTGCTACTAAAAAGTTGCCTTAGTGTTATTGACATGTAGGATATGTTTCAAGTCATAAGATCAAAAAGCCAAATGTCTAATTGAAAAACATATAGTTTTATATTTTTAAATGGCTTTTAAAATCTATGATACAGCTGAATCTGTGTTGATTTTGCTGCTTTATTGTTATTTTGGAGGTGGAAATTTATACTCATTTTCATTTATGTTTGCCTCATTATCAAGCTTTCAATTGATAAAGCATTTAAATATGACTTACTTTACTTTTTCCCTTATTAAGATGATTAAATTGTGCCTCAGGACTCAGATTCTGTTGTTACTTTAATAACATCAAAGGCGACACACTCATTTTATTGTCTGAATTTTTATATTGTATCAGATATCAAAATAATAGCTATGAATCCAAGATGAATTAAAATTCTGACAAAACATGAAAATTCTATATACTTTCACATTGATGAAAATACTTATATAACTACATACATGCTTTGTGCCTTATAATCAAAATTAAATATGCAGTTGTATTTTAAAGTTATGTTACATAGATTCTTTTGATAAATTTATCATGAAGGATGTTTGTCCTTCCTTGAACTTATTCTCTTTCCAATGACGTAATGTATTTTTTTCTAGCAGTTAAAACAAACAAAAAAAGTTTACTAAATTCAGTTAAATAAACAAATAAAATAAATTATAGTATAATATTTTGGATATATTTATATTTTTGAAATGCTTAAACAGAGATGTTTTTGGTATATTTACACATAATTATTACACATATTTATCATTTTTCACCTAACTGGTACAATATTAAGACTTGAGTCCTTCAGACAATTATCTTTTGCATTTGCCTGAAAATATGTATTGGAACCGTGTAGCCACATAGCATTTGAAGCTGTATGGTAGAGCCTGTTAAAATTATATTTGAAGTTTGGGGTTCTACCCCCAAAACTGAGAATTTGGAGGTTGAAGTTCATAAACTTTAAGCTCCAGCTCTTTCCATATCCTGTGAAAATAAAACAGCCTTTACTTTTGAGCAACTTTGGATCAATTATATCTTTTCTATAGAGATCAACACGAGCCATGCTATTTTATATGTGTTCAGATAAATAAGTTCAAGGATTTCAGCTTAAGGAATTCAATTGCTATAAAACTCCTTAGCCAGCCCATAGGCTAACAGAAAAATAAGTACTCCAAAGTATTATAAAAGGCTTCCTTGATGTCTGCATGTACACCTGTTTCTTCTTTATCAAATTAACAAAAGTTCCCAAAAAGGGTATCAACGAAGCCTAGAGGAAAGGGTCCTGAGACAAGTCTGAGGCAACTACGTGGGCATTAATCAAGCTGATAAGTCTAACAGTAGTTTCTGGGTATCATGAACATCGACTTACAGGTTACCTCAAATTTGTGTTAGGGATTTTAGATATTTCTAATTTTTCAAGCCCAAATCTTCTGAAATTAGATTCAAAAGCAAATACTGAAATATATGAATTTTTTTCCAGTTTAAAAGTACATTTGCAAGTTGAGCCGTGTGCACTTATCTAACTTTTCAAAATATTTCTAGAACTCTCACTTAGATAACCCATCATGGATGATATATATATATAATTATGGCATTTTGTATTGATTTTACACAAAAGAAATACGTCCATGGAATTGTATTTGAGAACATATATTCTCTGTGCCATTTTTTAGCACCTTTAAATTTTGGAATGTTACTGTAACATTTTATCATTAGTTGTTAGATGAATGGTTTTGAAGACGATTCTATTTCAGCTTCTTCAATGTGAAAACAAACTCTCATATGTTTAAAAAATTAAATATAAAATCTTTTTTATGGGCAAATTAATTGATATCCTATTAAATAATGAATAGTGTTAGATAGCCTATATTAAGTAATAAATAATGGATATTCTTGGTAATGTAATATATAAGAATACTTTTAAAATTTTCAGAATATTTTGTTCAATTCTCAATGTTAAAATAATCTTGTTTAAAATTATTTTCAAATTTGAAAACAAAAACACT